GCTGGCCATTGCTTTAGACCCGAGTCCTCAAGCACAGCTACAGCAGTGATATTCATAGGTAGCACACATGCACAGATTTATTAAGTGTGCATACATGTTATATACCAAATCACATATATGGTGAAATCATGAGGGTGCCTTTTCCAAGGGGGTAGGTGCGGATGAAAAAATAAGTCAGTGCTTACCTGAGCTACTGCTGGCAAAAATGCTCAACACTATGTCAAAACAAGATAATAATTTCTAACGTTCAGGGTTGACTGTCATACTAGCACACAAACACTTTAAAGGCAAAAATTTAGTGTACAGTTGACTGTTTTGTCCAGCAGGTGTTGCTGGAGACTACAAAACACTTTAAACAAGCTGGTCAACTTTTGTAGAGGGTCAAACAATGCATGGCACTTCCCCTCCCAGTTCGACAAGAAGAATAGGGTAAGTATACTTTTATTCATGAAACTTTTAAATGTTATAGTCTAAAGTAATGCAGTCTATGCAACTGAAATCCTACTTTCAAATTTACAAGCAGTGCCTATCTCTGTTTCTAGGTGGAGGTAAAGCTTGTCTGTAACTTCATAAAAAAGCCAAGTAGTAAGTTTTTCAGGTTCTACATCTTACTAATTCAGATCCATCTCAACTAAAATAAAACATGTTGTCAGGTCTGTGGTAATCAACAGTTTGGGGGAAGGAGGAAAGGATGAAGCAGACAGGACAAGGTCAGGCTGGATGGGGCTCTGAGCAACCTGATCTAGTTGAAGATCTCATTGCAGGGGGGTTGCACTAGATGAGCTTTAAAGGTCCCTTCCAACTCAAACTGGGAAAAAAACACCCTAGACAAATGCTGTCTATCAATAGCTTAACAAAAACAAAACACACAAAAAGAAGAGACTAAGATGACTAGTAATTCTAGCTGTTAACCCTGTGTGAACTCATGGCAAAAATTGCTGGGAATTTGATATGCAATCTATGAAAGTAGAACAACCATTTCTAGCTATGCTACAGTTTCCAAGTAGGAAGATGCTAACTTCTCTTCACAGACATACTCCTTGTCCATCTGTGCACCCTCATGGCTATATGGACCAGTAGTATGTATGACTACCACAGTATTGTCTCCTAGAAAAATTATTCTCCAAGTAAATAAAATTTTGTTGCAACAGTAATAGCATAAATAGAATTCAATATAGTATTTGAATACAGTATGTGATTAAAAATATTTTTTAAAACATAGCATTTCTTATTTGATTATAAAGGCTTAGTTGGCAAAACAATTAAAATTTAAGGATTATCAATATTTCTACAGACAGTCCATGGAAAGGTTTGATTCACAAAATGAATTATACAAAAAGTGAATCAATCCTTGATACTTGAAATTTACATTAAGAAGTTGGGGGGAGCACTAATACTTTTTTACTTGTTTCCAACATTTGTACAGTCAAATGGAAGACAATTCATCCACAAATAAATAATTTAGATGGAACAATTTCAGAATATTCTTTTGGAAAGCAGCACTTGTCAGTGTTAAGTGGTGGTGTGTTTTTACAGGAAACTAATTCTGTAAGAGCTTTAGTCCACCACCACTCACTCTTTGGGCAGGAGATGCAGCAAGACTTAGCAAGACTAGGCAGGTAGTGGCACTTGGCCTTGTTGAACCTCATACAACTGGCCTTGGCCCATCGATCCAGCCTGTCCAGATCCCTCTGTAGAGCCTTCCTACCCTCAAGGTGATCAACACTCCCACCCAACTTGGTGTCATCTGCAAACTTACTGAGGGTGCACTTGATCTCCTTGTCCAGATCATCAATAAAGATGCTAAACAGAACTGGCCCCAATACTGAGCCCTGGGGAACACCACTTGTGACCAGCTGCCAACTGGATCTAACTCCATTCAACCAGAGCTCTCTGGGCCAAGCCATCCAGCGTTTTTTACCTAGCAGAAGTACACCTCTACAAGCCTACATAGCTACTCTGCACAGCTTGTTTGCACAGCGACACCTGTACTGACATTACAAGCCTCTGAAAATGCAAGAGCAGGTAATTATCATAGGTAGTAGATCAAATGTATTTACACTACAGGGGAAGACTAAAGTTTGTTGATACCCCATCAATTGACACTTAAGACTGTTTAGAAGTATGCTTTAAGAGGTCTCATTTAGAGCAGATGAATATGAGACTGTAAGTTCTCTCACAGAAAAAACAGGACTATCATACCAAGTAAAATATATTCCAGTCTATCAATTTTTACTGATGAGAACTGTATATTCAGATAAGTTACCTAAACCAAGGCTCTGAATTTCACTGCCATCTATGAATAGCACTGAGACCTCTTACAAATAAAAATACTTAGTTTTCATTTGCTAATTGCAAAGTTAATATATTCCATTCAATTCACCTACAGCTTCTCTGACAGTCACCTGTGACTCTTGAATGCAGCAATGTAAAAGCTTTCCCAGACTATTTAAGCCTTTATTGACTGCATTTCTCTTCTGTACATGAAGGCAAATACATACGCACAAGTGTTTTGCATCCATGCCACCGAACATGCCATTATTGTTTTCCATAGGCTATTCCAATTCCTCCCACTGTTTTCTTCTGAAGTTCATTTAGAAGCAGTTCTCTTCCCATTCTCAGCAATTCATGAGTTTTCCTCCTTACCTCAGACCCAGGCCTTTCTTCAGTTTCATTTAGTCCTCCATCTTCACAGTCACAGGTTCCACCTCAAATCTTCCAGGGGCTTCATCTTTCCAACGTTCAGTACCATTTCTAAAGCGGCAGAGACAGACTGCTATAGATACTAATGGACAGACTGTGGTGCTTCTCTCCTAACTATCAGTGAACATGTTATCTCGGTCCCACTCTCATGAGATGGAACCACAAGCATTAAGCAGGAGCAGGAAGTAGATCTAATCAGGAATTTCCACAGTAGTATATTCCTGACTCAGTATTTTATTTCCATAACTATAGAGTTAAGTAAGTATTAGACAATATTAAACAAAACTTTTAATATTCAAATTCAACACTAGTAAGAACAAATAGAGAACAATGGGAAACACTGTTTAAACTAAAATTAATGAAAAGACAAGCCAGTATTGGAACAGTTCTGGTTTTTAGCAACATCTGTCAGCCTAGGTCCAACATCAGTATAGGTTCTGACGACCACATTCTGTTCATTTTGGAACTTAAAACTGAAAAGTTAAGCTTTGCCTGTAGGCATCTCAGACTGCTTTTTCAGTATAGTATACTACAAGCACAATCAAACTTATGTACATAAACAATGAAGAACAACCTGAACACTTACACTAAACAATTATGTACAAGTACTCCAACATAAAAAAAAAAATTATACAATAGCCTCAAGAATGGACAACTGAAGAGAATATCAACATTTAAAGAATCTTATTAGAAAGAATTACAAAACATCAATAGCCAAGACATTAACAATTGCACTACACTAATACAGAGTCCAAATATTAAATTGGTGCATTATTTCACAATGCACTAGCTTCAAGAGAAAAATGCTGCCTTCACTAAAATGCAGCTTAGATTTGTTTCACGTTATTATTTTAATAAGAAGCCTATTAACACAATAATGATTGTTTTAATGCTACAGTTTACAGCGAGGACAACAAACTAAAAATAGCAGCAGTTCCACACGGCACTTAATTCCACAGGTTTCTAAGCTGTGGTTTATGCAATGCCTACAAAGTGCTCCCAGTTGAATATACAAATAAAATTCACAATAAAAGTCTACCTGACATCAGGTACATTGAGTGTAGGTGGCCTTAAAGCCCGTCTTTCAAAATGTATTCCCCTCTGCTCCAAAAAAAAAAAATTAAAAAAAATCAGTAACTATCAAAGCAAGGCCCCCTCCCTCCCTTTAAAAGATCACTAGGGATATTTCTTCTTATTACAATGCCGTAACACTACAAAGCAGCACACCACTATAGTGGTTAACCCTGGGACGATGTAACATCTAACAGTGTAACTGAAAGGCTTATGGATTAATATCCAGGATCCTCTATAGACAAGACAGTAACTGAGTCCGTTAACTCAAACAGTTTAATACAGCTAATCAGCCATACTGTAAAAACCCAGAAGCACTTCCTGTAAAACTAGTGACACTGATCAAAGACAGGACAAGAAACCAGGAATTGAACAGTTCCTTCAATTCCTTAGGCTTCAGTCCAGCAGAGATGCTATAGCCATCCTCAGTAGTTCTTTTAGACTTCATAGTTCAGTATATAGTAAGACTAACTAAATCTTTCCAATGAGTCGAGATGGTCTATTTTGTGTTGTAGATCTAGTTGCCATTCTGTCAGTGAACAGTGCTCGCTCCTCAGCTGCGGCCTTTGCCATCTGTGCCTTCTTCAGCTCTCTGCAAGACATTGAGTCACACTTAACACATCAGTAAGGACTACAGGCGTATCACAGCAAGGGCGTTTCAAATGATTTACAGCAGTTCAGAACCTAAGACTTGCCATCAATTTAGGTCATCCTAAAACCATTATCATTCACATCCACCTGTTTACAACCCATACAACCCAGAGGACAGAAGTGGGATGTTCCTTACTTGTCTAGATGTTCTCTCTTTTGAACAATGAGGGAAAGAAATGACAAATTCACACAACACAGATTTTTAAATCCAGCCTTTTGTAAGCAGCTCAACACTCAATCTCATGCATCAATTACCAGAACATGGTAGGATGCAGCTTACTTTCTAATACAAGCCCTACGATAAAGCACTGAAGAGTTAATTACAGAGTTTTGCCCAAATGAAGCAGCTACAACTGAACTTCTGTGGAAGACAGACAAACAGGTAACAAACACACTTAGGTGAACACAGATGAACATAACTGGCAACACAACTCAGGAAGCATCCTTTTCCTTTTGCACACCCACATCAAAAGCTTATCACCATCTAATCTTTTTTGCCCAACATAAAAATTTGAGCCCAAAACTGCAAGGCTGAGTCACTGAAGGTAGCACAGGCCATTGCCCCCGTGCAACATTCTGTCAACTATTCTGTTTCAGAGAATTACCAATACTCAGTCCAAGGCTAAAGTTAAATAAATCTCAGGATATAACTATGAAACAGTCTCACTAAAGAGCAAAGTTATCTTTATCAAAGGTTTCCCCACATACTCCTCCTTTCCTTAAATGCTGACATATGGCTAAGTGTAAGGATTCCCCCATATTCTTTTCCCCCTCCTATGCCAAACTATCCTTTAAAGAATTTTCTCTACCATAAGAACTAGTCACATCTGGACTCCAAAGCAAGATCAAATTTTACAAGCTCGCTGCACAGTGGTGTAGGTGTATTTAGTTTTAAGTTAAATGTTTTAGTTTAATAAGCTACTCCCATTCTTGTAAGCCAAAGTATTATACATTAACACCCATGCCCTATCTAACCCTCCCTACATGATCACTGTTGTCAGTTCACCACAAGAGAATGCAATCAATTTTTAGTCATATTGCCTAAAGACTGAACATTAGTCACAAATGCACACGTGTGCACACCCACCCACCACACCATTACCAGGAAATTTAAGTTTTACAATATACATCCATTCTTCTCAAGAGTCTAATCTTGAATTCTTCCTTTCTCTGAAGAAGATGACACAGTGGAAAAGCTGAGTTTCCTTACAAAGATTCCTTTCACTGATGATAACATACACAAGTGGCATCTTAAATGGGTCAAATGCAGGAGTGTTAAAAAACAAAATAAAATTGAGGAAAAATACCTATCTGAACTCTTTTGTAGAACACTATCCCGCACAACATTAAAAATTACTGGGGATAAGTGTTATTTTTAAATCATTCTTGGATTTACAGTTATAAGGATGTATCCTACTTGTTGCCAGGCCAGAAGCAGTCTTCACAAAATATTAGCTTTGCCAACTTCCCTTTTCATGATACAAAAATATGTTGTCTTTATAAAAGTTACCTCAGCAAATCTGTCCTTGAATAACCCGCACAAACCGTCAAATTATTCTTTCTGCAGTCAGTGTAATTCATAAAGGATTATAAAGATAACCATCTAAAATGGCAAGTCTGGCTACATTCAGACTGTAGCAACAGCAAAATAAGCATATAGCAATGGAGGGAATCCAAATACAAAGTTAACACCTTCATTCAAAACAAGCCAGTCAGAAAGTAATCTGTGTTCTGTATTGTCCTGGTTTCACTAGGACAGAGCTAATTTTCTTCTTAGGAGCTAGACTAGCGCTGTGGTTTGGTTTCAATGTGGGATTTGTTATGAGAATAACATTGATAACATACTGTTTTCAACTGTCACTGGAAGATAAAGGACTTCCCAACTTCTCTGTGTTTTTCTAGCCTGCAGGTGCAAAGGCTTGGCGGGGAGGGGAAGCACAGAAATTAGCAAACCCAGATTGGCATTTGGATATGCTAATGGGATATTCCATATTGTATAACGCCATGTTCAGTACATTAATGAGGGTTAACCAGAAAGCAAGAGGATTTCTCTTGGATCACTCGGGCTCCTTATGCTGGGATAGCAGTTTCAGGATTGCCTCTGCTCCGAGATCACTAGCTGGGGACAGTGGGCATCAGTTGGTGAGTGGCGAACAACTGCACTGTGCATCACTTGTGAATATTCTATTGTTACTCTTATTATCATTATTTTAAAAATTATTTTATTTCAATTACTAAATTGTTTTTATCTCAACCCATGAATTTTCTCAACTTTTACCCTTTTGATTCTCTCCCCACCCCATCAGGGGGAGGGTGAGCAAGTGGCTGTTTGGTTGACAGCCAGGCTAAAACCACTGCATATAAAAAAAAGCCTGCCTATTATGCGTAACATGTGCCAAGTTAACTGCAGTGAAAGATTCCGATGATTGCCTCTTAATTTACCAACTCTTTCTATGAAACTTAAGCAGAAATCAGACTTTCCTAAAGGGAATCTCTTCTTCAAAGCTTTAATTCAGCGTTGAGTGTTTGAGGAAGGGGTAAGACAAGATGACCTCCTGATACAAAAGATTCTCTGGTAACCCAGTAACACTGCTGTGGACAAGTCAAATTAGTCCCAAAACATTCCTGATGTGCCATTTCATTTCAGTTCAAGAGTTTTTAAAAACTGTAATGTTTTGCATCTCTTGAATACTAATAGTGTAGCTGAGATTCTCTTAAGAGTGTTCGAGAAGTTAATTCTATGGAGAAAGTTCCTTTTGAAGTTACATAAACCCACTTTGTACTCTCAGGTATGTACATGCATACAGATTTGTGAACCTCAGGCAGAAACAAGGATAATCCTGTTTTATCATCACTCTACTATCACATGAAAACCCCTCAGAAATTAAGCTACATTTGCGGACCCCAAGGAACTACTTACTTCTGCAGGAGCGAGTTTTTGAATTTTTCAGCATTCAGTTCTATCCGGAGCTGTTCTGCACTCTTTTTTGCAGCAGAGAGAAGCACTGAATGCTTGACTAGTGCCACAGCTGAAGGCCTTTTCTCTGGATCAGGATTAATCATAACCTTGGAAATAAGAAAATAAGGCATTTTAGTTAAGGCAAATAACACAGTAAATTACACTAATCAGCGAGCCACTGATACAAGAGTTCTTACTTTTAGTAAGTCTAGTAATTCTTGAGAAAGCACTTGTGGTATTCTAGGTAGTTTTCCTTGTCGAATTTCATGCCACTGGTCCCCATTAGTTGGAAGTGGTTCAGCTCCAGCAGCACAAACAACAGTCAGAGCAAGAGCAAAAATATCTGCTTTTGGCAAATGAGCGTAGTTCTTGGAAAAAAAAAAAAAAAGAAAAGTACATTTACTACACATACCACCTACTGTAAAAAGAAATCTAACAGACAGCTAAACTATTAATCACTGAACACATCCACAGTATTATACTGTCCTTTAAGTACTACCAGTGTTCAAGGGGATACCAATTAGGAAGTTTCTCCTCCAACAAGGAGGTGGCAGACAGCAGCTCATTACTCTGAAGAAAACAGCATGCAGACCTAACATCACCATTTCCACAAACAGAACAGTTACCTCTTGTAGGACTTCATTTGCAAGAAAACGGCTATCACCTTCCTCCACTTGTGGACTAGATACTCGAGTTACATGACCAAGGTCACCTGCAAAAAGAAAACAAAGTTATTTTTCAGAAGACAAAAACACAATGCAAGTCTTTTGAGGTCAAGTGTGCTGCTTCTCACCTATTTTAAATATGACTCTACCAGATGACCAGTCATCATCATCACCTTCTTCTGATGTTGTACTTGGGACTGATGTCCTAGATATGAAAATATTACCTGAAAAAGAGCAGAATAGTTAAAAAACCTCCACTTCTGTACAATTTCTACTTCACATAGTTTCACTACAACTTGTTTTAGCCACACAGAAGTTTTCGTTGTTTGCATACCCAGTTCCTAGAGCGAGAAACTATAGCTTACTCGTTCTGGCTCCTCTGCTGGGAGGGGAGCCAAGTGTTATGCAAGTACAGTAAATCACACAAAAAGGACTGAAGATAAACTCAACAGTTTAAGTCTGCTAGCCAACTTTATAACTGACATCTTTGTAGTGCTATTTAGAACTTCGGTGAAGAATTTACAGTTAGTAAGGTGTGGCTAACTGCTCATTTTTCTACAGCAAACTAAATTAACTGAGGAAGTTGTCAACACAGAGTAAAGCAGTTTACACACTTACTAGGTTTGATATCCATGTGTACCAGTGACATTGAATGAATGTACTTTAAGCCTCGAGCCACCTGAAGTAGCAGGTCCTTCAGTTCCGGTTCAGTAAAATAACGCATATTCCTGTAATTTTCACTTATGGCATCTGCTAAACTGCCACCTAAAACAACATTAAAGAAAACAACTAATTATTTTATGCCAAACAGTTGACGAAGTAATGACAACTTGCTTCCAAAATTAAATACAACTGGCTTCCAAAATTAAGTGAATATATCACCAAGAACTTGCCAATGATACACAGGAAGTGTAAAATCTAGTGCTATATCCCCTCTTTATAGCCATGTAATATAATAAAATTATTTTTCTGCTGTAGCTGCTGTGCAAATTAACAGGATACCAACACAAGGGAAAAGACCTCTCTCCCTCTTCCAAATCTCTGGCAGCGTATAAACCATAGCAAAAAGCTTCAGAAATCAGTTTCACCTCTCTTTTTAAAGGAAACTCTCTGGTAATTTTCTCTAGTCCAGCTTGTACTATTGTACTGGAAAAAGAACAGTTTTGCTGTTCGCAAATGCCTCACTGTACTTCCAACATTCTCCAAGACTTAAGCCTATGTCTGCAAGTTTGTATGGTTTTTGCTTCATATATCTGATAAGCTTGTTCCAGCAGAAAGGAAAATCAGACACATTTGAGACAACGATGATATAAGCTACGTGTAGGGCAATCAATTCTTAACGAGCACTACAGATCTGTAGAGGTACCTGTATACCTTCAAAAATTAGATTTTTTGAAAGCAAGTTCAGAACAAGCAATAAATTTTACTTACCATTGCAATATTCATTCTGTATAAGCATATGATCATCTTCTGCCCATGCAGAGTAGTATCTTACTACGTGAGAATGCTGTCCCAGAACTGCATGTGCATAGACCTCTCTTAAAGCATTTTGTCTGTTACAGTCACAAAAAATAACAGCACACAAGATTATTATGAGGTGAAATTTGTCAAATTTCAGCTTAATAGAAACATCTATTGAAATATCATGCCCCTCTGCCAGCACAGGTTTTTAACTGAAATCTTATTCAGTTCTGTGGCACCTCAAGGTGGATTTGTATTTATATCAAAACAGCTAAAATAATTTACATTGTATTAGAAGACTAAGTATATGGAACATCAAAAAATAGACTTTGTTGCAGATAATTCTTGAGAGATGCCACTTCCATCACATATTTTCCAGCCAGCAGCAGTGGCAAACTTTGAGAAGCATCCCTGAAGTTTTAGGAAAAAACTAATGATGATCATAAGCCAGGATTATGACTGAACTCAAGATTCCCAAGTTCTCGTGTATAAGTCTGGTATGGAATTTTGAGCAACTCAAACTTGTGGAGTTTTATATTATAACTATGGGAACAGTGGGGGTGAAAAGTCATGAATCATAGGCTCATTAACAAATGCCAAAAAATACCCCCAAAACTGACTTAACTAACCCGCACATGACTCAAGCTGACAAGGATGAGGACCTAGTTGAGAATACTGCTTTCCTCTCTTATCTCAGAGGATCATCACTGCACAGTTTATTCCTATAGTCCCTCCTGCCATTAACACATGTAAGCACTGTTCTTACTTTCCAGTCTGTTGCCACACAGAATACTGGGACAAACGTCTGCTAGGATAAAGGCCAAGTAGACTTTCCTCCTTTGTATTGCATAGTATTCAGAAAAAAAAAAAGTAAAAAAAAAGTAAAGTGATTTCAAAACTGTATCTGTTTTACATTTAATTTATGTATATTTATAGTTTTCTCTTAAACCCCTCTCTAGACACCAATACAAAGAAATATGGGAGGAAAAAGTAACAACAGGTGACTTTTAACTTTTCATAGCAGGAAGTACTCACTCATCCACTGAGCCAGCTAAGGGTTTCTTGGATCGCTTTATTGCATAAATACAACCATCAAGCCTCTTCACACATTTAAACACAGAACCGAATTCACCAGATCCAATCTTCTCCAACTCATGAAATTCAGTTGCATACCGAGACTTCATATTACTTTCTGTTATTGTTATCCTCTGCAAAGGTTAGAAAGGAAAATACTTAGATCCGCAGATACACAAACTGCCAAACTTAGTATCAAGTTCTAAAGATGAACTACCTTAGCAGGTCTGATAGTTTCATCTTCAGGCTCTCCATCGCTTGCTTCCATGTCTTCTCCACAAGAGCTGAAATTCACACCAGTTACTTTTGCAGAAATAATATGGCTTAAATAAACTTAAAGTCTAGAAGCTGTTGATTTTTGATTTAACTAACTGAACAGTAGACATCTGCATGCACAAACTCATAAAATAAAGGTACTATGCTAATGTCTGTCATTTCTTCTTTTGTGTTTTATACTGGTATTTAATGTGTTTTTCCCTACTCATGAAAAGACTGTGTGCATAGCTCATTCAGTCAGGTAAAAAGAAAAAAATAAGACATAGCCTGGTCTATTCTCTCTGTATACTAATCAAAAGATCTAGTGCTAAATGCTTCTTTCATAATATCATGCATCTCAAAGTAGATACTTTAAGGGCTATATTATGCATCACCAACAGATCGGCAAAGAAAAACACTGTCATAGAAGCAATTAGTACTAGCTAAATTTCCAGCTAAAAGTAGTTCTAAGGATAAGCTTAACAAAGGAAGATACAAGTTACTCACTCATTCCAGTACGTTCTCTTCCTCCTACGACATTTTCCTTCAGAGTTGTGAAGGAACATGGAATCAGGAGTGAAGGGATTGATGTTTACATGAGGTGTTTGTCTAATATCTTCTTCTTGCTTCTCTGATTTCCCAACATTCATAAACAGGGAGCCCCCTCGAAGTTTGACTGCGCTGGAGCCTATTCCTTGTGCTTTAGAAAGCAAACTCTGTATTTATTTTAAAAAAAAGAGACAAAAAAAAGTATTTATAGCCTCAATATTGCTTTAGACAAACAATCAGGTCATGCCTGAAAGCCGTAATTACAATATTGTCTTATCAAAGTTAGCATGAGTTGTTTAAATACCTGCATTTCGATCAAAAATAATTCCAAAGAATCTATTAGGCTTTACACTACACACAAAAACAGTTAAAGGAAACACTGAATGTTAAAATAATTTTGGAAAGACAGGAAAGATTATGAGATCAGTGTTTTTCTGTCTTTAACCATGTCATCATCTAAACTTCTTGGACAATTCTTTGCCCATGAAACGAACAGAGATGAAACTCCCAGACCATCCTGTCCCATACCACCATGACTCTGTTACACAAGATATGGAAGTTAGATCACACTCTGCAAATTATCTTTGGTGACTACAAATTTAGGTAGCAAGCTAAAAAAGGCAACTAAAAGATTTAATGCTGATGCACAGATGCCTCTTCATGAGCCTACAAAAAATTGACTGCCCAGTTCAATATCCTAAACAGATCTTTTGGGTGGTAATTTCTCAGACCAGGCATTTTCCAGGCACATGATGAAACCTCTCCCAGTTAGGTAGGGAAGTTTGCACCTGAGTCTCCTATATCCTGGAGAGGATGTCAACCACTAACCTATTAGATCTCAAGCAGGAGTATTGTCTTATCCTAGCAACACCTTACAAAATAAAGAACTGACATAAGTAAAGCCTAAACCACCACAGGGAAGAAAGCTCAATAGTTGGGAATCGCAGCTGCGCTCCCAAATCTGGACTAGATGAAAACCTTTTAGTCACTGTGCCTCTCAACACACGTTTCAGTTATTTCCACTGGATACCTTAACCAACTGATTCTTCCAGACTCCAAAGATAACCTCCCAAAGGTAACCCACGTAGAGTTTGGCTACCTAATTTAAGAATCCCACAGAACTGCAGTGTTATGACTTTGTTTTCAGTGTCACAATCCACAAGACTTTGGCATCTCTAAAGATGTCCTGTCCTGACTCGGTACAGGATTGTCACCAATTTTACTATTTCCAAACATGTACCACTGACCTCATTTGAGATGGAAGCTGTAGAAAACCAATTAACAAGGTGGCTTTCCTTGCACCTTAAGTCAATTATTTTCAATCTGTAGTCTACAGACCTCTGAGAGATTATCCCTGAGGATTATCCCTGGATTACTTCTAAGGGGCTATATGAAGAGTAATGAAGAAAGCAAGCCTATTATTACTAGATTTAAATTCACTATATGGTGTTTTACATGAGTGTAGAGTTCAGAAGTTGAAATGCCTTCCCAAAATCTGTTATTAACAGAGTTAAGAGCTACGTATCCCTTTAAGCCTTCAAATCCATCAGTTTAACAGCAGCGGCTACTCAAAGAGCCTTTTAGATTTGATGCAGAAGAGTGCAGATGCTGAACGTGCACCGGCACCGGGTACCACTCGAACCAGCCGTGCGATTCACTGACAGACAGGAGCACATTCCAACTCCAGATTTAACTTTCTGGTTATAAAGATACAAACGCCCACACGACAATAACGTATTTATCTTCAGAGTTCTCGTATTCTACTTTCACCTTTAAAAGCAACAGCAGAGTACTGTGTATTGATAGAACATACACATAAAAATGGAAAAACGCATTATCAGTATCGGTTCCGCACACGCACACGG